GCAGGAAGATGCTGCATCTAAGAGAAGAAAGAGAGAGAGCCAATAATAATAACAACAATAATAAAAAATCAGTAGCTGTTTCACGTAGCATTTGCACATCACTGATATCCCAGTTCTGCAAAGTTATACAAGTAGTGGGTGTTTTTTTCTGGTTACTCCATTCTTCAAACAGCCTCCTCAAGCACCAAGGTGAAGCAGGTACATAACAAAGCACAGGACAGAAAACCAAGTGATCAGTAATAAACTTTACGAAAACTAGGTCCTAATGAAGAAAAGTCTCCCTTTTTAATGAAGAAAGAACAAACTTCATTGACACTAGAGGGACATCTCACAACACACCCAGTCATCTCGTGCCAGGCCACCACCAAGGAGGCACAGCCCTCTCCCACCGTGCATCAGACCAAGTGCTCAGAGCCAGCAACCTCCCTCCTTCTGCGTGATCACAGACCTGACATCAGAGAGGGCCTGTACAGCTGGGTAGGAGGAAGCTGAGTAACCTCCCCTCTTGCTTCCAGTAACAGCTCGGACAGACATCTACTGGGAGGGGAAAGCTAGTGCCAAGCCAACCTTTAGATGGGGAGATGGACTAGATGACCGGAGCTGTCAGTGCGGATTAGATCTACTTACACACTCTTGGACCAGTTTCTGCTGGGTAAAGTTCGACATTACGGCTGACTTGCTCCAAAAAGGATGTTTCTCCCTCTCCCACACGCCAGCTCTTCTCCTGCCCCCATCAGCCCAGCATGGCGGTCACAGGCAGCTCCTTTCCCCCAGCACAGTGGGACCTACTTTGCACGTCCAGCTTCCTGCTGGATTTGTGGGCTGAACCAGCTCCCCAGCAGTAAGACCCTTTCTGGAGGCAGCAGGCAGGATGGGCAGGAGCAGGCACTGGAAGTGAGTGATACCAGCCATAGCAGGGACTCGTGAACGGGCTCTGCCTGTACCAGCTTTCCCGCACTGGCCACCTCCACACCCAGCCGCATGGGGCTGGACCGTGGTAGGTACAAGAGCAAAGCAATCCCACTTGACATGTCCTCCTGCCTAGCATCACTCCAGCAGCGGCAAAAGACCTTCTCAGGCTTTCCTTCAGCTTTGAAACTGCGGACTGAAGGTGATTATATACCTCATCAGCTCCTTCATGTCTGGATTTTACCTTTTCCTTTTGCTTCCTCATAGCTAGAAAACTCAGACAGAAGCTTCCCATTCACCACTGTCTGCTTTGGAGGGCTGTATGCCAAGCAGAGCTTCACCCAAGCCTGTGATTCTGGAGCATTTCTGTCTGCATACATGCGCACATATAAACACAAAAACCATACGGACACATACTTCTGTATTAGGTATTGCGAGTTCACTAGGAGGAATTATAGGGGACATATGGCTTAATTTAGTTGCAGTGGTTTTGTAGTTACAGCTGAGTAGATAACATGACAAGGCTAGTAATCATTTCTAAGAGGGATGATGTAGTGATATAATCTACAGCACTTGTAAAGGCTCCTTGATAAAGGGCCAGGCAGAGCTGGAACAGTTTGGATCCATTTCCTCACCGCTGCTGAGAACGAATGTTGCAATATGTGTTAGGAGGGTTGAATGGAAAATTATTGCCTTCATTATGTAAGTTCAATGTACAGACATATGTTCCTGGATAAACCACTTCTACAACTAGCCAGGTCCACGTAGCTTATTTTCCATAAAATATAAGGAGTAGAATTTTCTACAGGTTTCAGTCAAGTATCTGAAACAGGCATGCGCTGGTTTATGCAGCAAAGCATACGCACATTTCTGAGGTTCACATGCACGTAGGTTTATTGCTTTTTACAAGAGATGCAGGTGTGGGAACAGGTCTTGTAGAGGATGTTTGAACATGCACCAGGACTTTGGTATATCCAAAGCAGAGAGAAAGTGGAGACATGGATTTTTATAGGAGACATAGCACATTGTAAAGCAAGATATCTTGGGCCAAATCCCGTTCCTGTTGTTTGGGCAAACTGACTTCTTGATTTCAGTGGTGCTTCTCACTCAGGCAAGGTAAGCAGAAAGTCACCTTTGGGCATTTATGGGAAGAATCAGAGAAGTGTTTTCTTTAGTGTTGTACAACAGGACTTTGTATTAGCATTAGCCCCAAGTGCCTGGAAATCTGGAATTCAAATGAAGCAAAACCTCAATAGAAATAAAGAGCATCTTAAAACCAAAGTTGTTTCCACCACTACTTTTAAAAAGCAGAGTTGCCAGCTACTGAGAAAGTGAGTAAGTGATGCTCTGGCCTGGAAGGATTCCAGTAGGATTAGTCTGGCAGCTGTAGCACAATCAAGACAGACTAATTTCTTCATTATTAGTTTTTCATTCTTCTAAGTCTGCTTTTCACAATGGTTTGGCACCGTCCGCCCTCATCACTCTCCGACTCCGAAGCTGGCAAGCGGACCCATTTACTTTCTTTTTTATTATAGCGGAGGGATGGGCTAATTTACACCAGGAGTCCAGCGTGCCTGCGAAGCTCCTGCGGAGCCCTGGGAGAACCGGGAAGGCAACACTCCCTCGCTCCAGCTGCTGCAGGGGAGACATTTCGTCCATGAGCAGGAACAAATATTTATCAGACAGGCTTTCCAGTCATATGGTCCTAATCCTCGCAGCAATGTGAAACTCCCAGGATGAGGTCATGGTTGTTTAAACCCAAACTGTACTTTTTTTCTAGAGGCCAGATCAGGTAGGTAGGAGATGGAGCACTCTTCTCCCTGCCTGGGGCTCTCTGAGAGCAAACCCCAGGGTTCAAGGGACACAGTGATGTGCAAATACACACCCGCAAACATGCACAAAGACTTGCTTCAGAGCACAACAGGGCTGCCAGGGTGCAACATTAAATTTCCAGCACTGCCTACCTGTTGCTCTGAGTTTTCAGAACTTGTCAAAATCCAATTGTCAGACTCCCTGAAAGCTCCTTTAAACAAAAGACATTCTCAAAAGTGAAAAAAAAGAATAAGATAAAACATTTTTTTAAAGGTCATCAGAAGATTCTCCCAGCTGACTGCTGCTGGGAATACTTTTTTAGGTGGTTTGCATCTTTGGTTTGCTCTTTAGCCTTTCACTGGACTTTGATGATTTACACTTTAAACTGAAGAACCAGGGAATTCCCTGGCCATTTTCCTACAGGGACTGTTTGGATCAGGAATTATCCAAATTAGGAATTGTATCTGAATCCTGCAGAGCTAACAGACTGGCTCATGACTCCCGGACAGACCCTTATTATTTTAGCCCAGATGGTACTAAAAAAAGCCCATCTGAAAAACACGAGACACCCAACAGCATGTTTTAGGACTGCAAGTTAAACACACAGACCAGCTATATTCCTTCAGTTTTCTCCTCACATTAAGAGAGGCGTGCCATGCATATGATAATATTTCAAATATTGTGTGACATTAAGTAAAACAACTCAAAATATGTCACTCATCAGTACACAATGTATAGCAGCACTGTGTCTAGGGACAAGGTTATCTTGAGCAGGACTGAACCAATGGAAAGAGCACAACCAACGTATTCTGTGTTGCATTTACAGCTGGAAGGTTTCCCAAACCTTGGACAAGATGAAATTTGGGTCACTCCCAGAAAAACCTGACAGCCAAGTAATCAAGGAGGTTGGAAAGTCAGGTCGTGTCTCTTATTTTGAACCAGCCTTTGGCTCTGCAATTTCATGTAAGATTGAGTAATTTCTGAGTGTGACTAACTCAGAGCAGCCTGTTTACCTGCAGCCAAGCACTTCCAGAGAGCGGAGCTCGGGTCTCCCACAGTCCAGGTGAGCCCCAACCACCAAGCACCAGATTTGGCTTCGGAAAATGTGTCTCTTTCTCTGCACAGTCTTTTCCAGAAATCTTGGGGTTCATGTCACACCAAAAGAAAAACAACAATTAAACCCACCAGATTTCCATGTCTCTCCCCCACATCTGCAGCAGGACTCCCACGTTCATCTCTGATCAGCAATGGGGTCTAATTGGGTCATGCCATTGAGCACAAGGTTGCTGGGCCAAAGGCAGGCTCACAGGTTGAGCCTCAAACGTACTCAAAATCTGGATGAGAGTTTGCACCAGGTGGTGGTTTGGGGTTTAGTTAAAGCTCTGCTCACCACCTCCCCAGGATGAGCATCACTGAGCTCCAAATGCTCTGTCCAAGAGGGGAAGGTGGCGGGGCAGCCAGCACCGAGCCCCCGCTACGCTGCAGAAACCCGGACCCTGTGGGGCTGAGCACATTTTGCTTTCAGTGCATTATAGTCAGCTCTGATAAATAACAGCAGAAGGGAAAAGCAAGAGAAGGCGGTTGATGCTGCAGAGCTGGGTTGTTTACCCTCTTTCCTGAGCAGGTCCTTTATTTATTTCACACGTGGCAAGAATCAGCCCTTCGATCTTCAGTTTTCTTTTCTCCTTCTACCTCATTGCTTTTGAATCCATCAGCCAGGGATATTAGAGGTGTCACAGGAACCAGACCTTTCTGCTAAATCCCTTCCAGATGTGCAGAGCCACAAACATGTCAGTCATTGACAAGAGCCTAATGACAAGTTGCTCCCTGTTCGTTAGCGATGGCTACTGTTTCCTGGCAGAAAAGCTTTTTCTTCGCCTTCCAGAAAGCTCTGAAAGCAGTTCTTGCTTTCTTCTTCCTTCCCCAGGAACAAGGCTTCAGTCTGATGGCTCACGAGGAGCTCGCTGGCCCGAATGCCATCGAGAGCTGCTCTCAGCTCCCCCAGCACTGCCACTGGAAAACCAGGCACGAGGCACTTCATCGCGGAGGCATTTTAGGATCTGCTGAGAAGAAACAAGTGCCAGACCTGGATGCAGCCAGTGTGGTTTGACAAGCCCCAGGCTGTTAAGTTCTCCAAAAGCTTGGTAGAATTAGACAATGCTTTTTTTGTGTTGGCATTGCCAGCCCCAAGGAGCCAGGTATGAAGTCGAGCAGACACCAAGGTCAGGGTGGCTTTGGAAAAGCCAGGCAGGTAGGAGGGCTTTCTGGGAGCAGTTCAGGATAGGAGAGGGAAATCATCTGACTATTTCTTTCTCCTAAGCAAGGAGATTCAAGTGGTGATGTTCCTGTCTTGCTAAAGGAGAAGGCCAGGAGCTGTGTGTTAAGGGGCTCTCTCAAGAACACGATGCAACAGGATTTTGGCCCCAAGCCTCAAAGCCAGGTCTTCCTTTCTGCTTGCCCAAAGACAAGTCATGGTTTTCTCAACCTGTTGCAATACTCACATTAAATTTCACACCCTTCTTCAAGTGCATTTTGATCTATGTTGGATATGTCTTATACCCACAGCTCCTCACAAGCTCAGGAGGTACTTTTCCAGGCTAAAAGTAACCTCAGAAAAATCAATACTATCATTGTGGAGATTCCTGATGTTGGCATTTTCCCCTCCTTTCATCTCAGTTGATGCATAGAATTAAAAAGGTGCAGCTGGCCAGGAAAGGCTGTTTCTTCCATGGAAAGTGCCAGTCTCGTTGCTGGGATGGGCAGGCAGGATGGACTGATGCAACATCCTTTGCCGTGTTTGCAACCACACCACCGCAAGGAAATGATATTCAGCAGCTCATCCCACCTTGGCACAGAGGCTGCAGTGAGATGCCAAACCAAAACTTGTGCTGAAGTCTGAGAACTGCTCTTTTAATGTAGCTGCTTATTAACATGACCCTGGTTGG